AGGCTCTTGCCGTGCGAGCACTTCAAGAGCTGACCTGCGTCTGGCCTCAAAGTGCACAAGCGACCAACTTGAAGTGTTAATGCGATTTTGAAGCTGAAACCGCGTTCGGTGTGAACGCAGCATAAGAATCGGGGCCTCACCGGCTTCCAAAGCTGAAGAAAAAGTAAGCTATCGGGAGATGAGCTCCGGGCAGGCCGCCTTTTATGCRTCCCGGAGGTGGGGCCCCACTGTACGGGGGCGTAGACTATTGGTTTATTCAGAATGCACRCGAGGAGCGGAGGGATACCCATCAGCAATAGCCTTAGAGAGCTGCGCTTACACTCCTAAAATCTGGGGTTACAAAGTGTAACCAACGTTCCTGACTCAACAGGTCAGCAGCGGTTCAGTGCTGAGTCGGCTGTGGAAGAATGGAGACRCGCTCRTTGTTGCTCTTATGTTTGTTAACAGTTATCAACAAWGAAATGAAYCTGCAAAGAACACACCAAGTCTTTATTCAAGTGTGCAACATTCAGTTACTTGTAAACAACCATCTGAATGTGCCGCACGTCTACTGCGCATGTGGGTCACATCAGTGCGATGTTCACTCTGGAATCTGATGGAGGTCGTATTTACAATATAATGTGAATGTCCATAAAAAATGAAAGTAATTTTGCAAAAAATATAGTATTGAGCATTAAATTATAAAACATGAGGGAAAGTTCTCCTACTCTAAAYTAAATGGAGCATTAAGTATATTTATTTTATTATTGGGCTATTTTTATATATTTTTGCTTTTATTTTTAATTATGTAAGTTTTGGTCTTCCATAGAAATAAAGTATCAAACTGAAACTTAGTAAATATCCTTATATTTTAAGAGTTTTATAAAACCAAACCACAAAGTGGCTTGAGTGCAAAATGTTGTACGGTATGAGTCTGCAGACCTACTTTATTATGTAGAACCATGAGAGGGCACCATTGAACTGCGTAAAAACCATTTCAGGTTCACTCAGTAAGACTGTGCTGAAACAATTTATCAGCCCAAAAGATGGATGTATTTCATAGTTTTAGCATGAAGACGATAATACTTGGACACACAGAAGAAAGTTCTGTCAGAGATTTAGTGGTTCAAGTAATCCATTTTTAGTCATTTGCTGGACCTTCTTCCGCACAATCCTTCTATTCTTCAYAAGTAAAATCTCTTTGTGTCCTCACAGATAAYGTTGAGCATTCATGRAATTCTTCTACTCTCATTCCTACTCTCTCCTTTATACAATCAAGTGTTTGGCCCAACATGTCAAAWACTCACTGCCATCTCTGGACTGGTAGTTTTCAGTGTACCAAGCCATGACAGGAAGCCTTGGGAGTCCCAGTTCTGTTCATACACTGACCCAACAAACACTCAGAAACTTTCCTGCMTGYTTTCTGAGTTTTTAAAATATCAAGCCTCGCTGAGGGAATATGAGGTCAATGCTGCAAACATTGTGTGACTACACTTTCATCCCGTCCTGTGTTGATTCAAGAAAAATAGTCTTATCACCAGTGACATACCRTTCCTGTTGCCACAACAGTGTAAGTAAGTAAGTAAAGTTTTATTTAAAAAGTGTCTTTCACAGAAATATATTCACAAGGTGCTGCACAATCATGTAAAAATGGTGGAAAGATAAAATGAAACAGAATAAAACATAATTAAACATAAGCAACGTAACAAAACATCAAATCAGGATTAAATTCTTAAATTGTTACTCAGACACACGATCAATGCAGAGCAAAATATACAAAGATACACAAAACATAGAGAATGGGGGAGAGAAAAATAGGCCGTATGTTCAATAATAGAAAAACACATAGTTGGCGAGTATTCACTATGGACGTAGGCTGGCATTAATGGTGAATGGTTAGTTAAACGCTTTAGTAAAAAAGTGGGTTTTTAGGTGTTTCTTGAAAGAGACAATGTTGTCAAGGGAACACAGATTAACAGTGCTTACAACAGTGCTTACAAGTCATCCATCAGAGAACAGCTTGGCCAACCCTGATACAGTATACCATGAATTTTCTGCTATTGTTGCCTTGTTTTTTAGATTTATACTCACTGTTGGTGGTGTTAAAGCTGGAAAGAAAAACGGCAACATGAGACAATAAATAAAGTGTTTGTATTGAAGGTAACTGCTCATTGTGATTTATTAGATGGGGCTTTCATTTCAGAGGAGCAACAGAAGAAAAGACAACTCTACACCAAAGAAACTGTTTATAAAAGAAGTCAGAATACACAGAAAGAGCACTTATCTGAACTGAGAGTTGCAAAGTGAGACAAACTGCAGGAACAACACACAAACACATTGAAGAATGCGCACGCTCATATTCATTTATCAATGTGGGAAACCTTCAGCTCCAGATTCTCAAACAGCAGGGCGGGAATGCAGTCCTGAYGCTTGCTGTTTGGTTATCTGGCCCCTGCATAATCTCCCCGAGGTGTTTGGGCTGCCCACAGGGAAAAACACATGAGTGATACAAGAACTAACTTTGTGGATATCTGTTATTCAAACAAGAGTTAAAGACAAAATCAAAGACAAGCACACGTCTTTGGCTACATGTGTGTTTGTGTTTCTTATAAAGCTGTGGTTATTTTTTTTTTAGTTCAACTCTGCCAAGTGTGCCAGTATAAACTGTTTTGGCAGAGGGCATTTGGTATCAAGTGGACACTTGTTTCTGCTGTCAGATTATAATTACTGGGCTTGAGCAATGGAAGCTTTGAAGSTTTATGAACCAATATTTGGATAAATGCCATGTAGGAACAAAAACAGCATGGGAAATACCTTTTTCTGTCCCGAATGATCACTTTGCTCTCGGAAATACGCTCACTGACATAAAAAAATAAAGTAAGTAAGTAAGTAAGTAAGTAAGTCAGTCAGTCAGTCAGTCAGTCAGTCAGTCAAGCACCTGGAAAGAGATCCAGTTTCAATCTAATCTGGTTGTCATGTAGACCGGTAATGGGTATGGAAATGGTTTGATTTGCACGTTTAAAATGGTCACCACTCAGGACAGAATGATAGGAGTCATGTTGAAGGTTTGCAGGTGGTTATATCATGTTTTTGCATTTAGGACAAATATTTTCCAGTGGCTTGATGTTGGAACAAATAGATACAGGACACCCACACACTCATCATAAAGGTTTTGATTACTCAAAACAGACCACACAAATGGAAGCTCATCGCATTGTGCTCCAAGCATTACAAAATGACATCTGCCCCTCCCATTCAGACACAGGTATTTGAGTCTTTGCAACGCCCTGTTGCATCCCAGATTGCAGCTTGACGGCTGCATCAGTCTGACTACTTTTTCACCATTCAACGAGCAGACAGCAGAACGGAGACTAGAGTGGTACCATGACCAGAAAGTATAGACCRATGAGTGATGCTGTATCCTGTTCAGTGATGAATCTCTTGCCAATCAAATMAGTCTTGCCAAGGTTATGAAGAGACATATCCGTGTTCCTCCTGACTTCATGGCTTGGGGTGCCGTAGGGTCTGACTTCAGGTTTCTGACCAGACACTACTGCATCAGTGACATCTTGTGTTCCCATCTTACCATTTCTGAGACGCTTTTATAGTCTTTCAATAAGACAATGCTCATCGGCACACACAGCACATAGTTTTATGTGCCATGTTGAGGTCCACCCATGGTCAGCCATATCCCTCAATCTTTCCTCAATTGAACATGTTTGGGTTTAGCTTGGACATCACCTCCAATCCAGAGCCGACCTGCCAGAGCTCGAGGTCCAGTTGCAGCACCTGTGGGTTGATCCGCTGTAGGAGAGGATGTACAACAGCTGCATGATTCCATTCTACACCAAATCACAGCTACTATTCAGGACTTAGGAGATTCAACAACCCACCGACGTGCAAACAATTTGTCTGTACTGCTAACTCTGTTATCCATTTGCTCTCACACTGATCGTCACACACACGACCTTTCATTACACCCAGTTTCCTTTCGTTTCCACAACTTTTTCTAAGCRCTTTGCGTTTTTGTCAATAAGTGTAGATTAAAAGCATGAATATGTGTAGAAGGTCCTGTGTTGATGTCTGGAAGCCTCTCTTCTCTGCCACATGAATCCCTCGACCCTCATTGATTCTGATTTGTGAAGATCTGTCTCACTTTACTACAACAGACACCTCACTTCTTCTRCTACTTGAAACGTATGTAGAAAACATCACGAAGTGTGATATCTCCATCTTCCTGTGGTCTAATCATAGTCTGATGTGGAATGGAGTCACGTCACAGAGAAATATGGYGATAAGGGTCAGTCAAGCAGACAGGAAATCTGCTGCTGGAACAAAGTGTAGCGTAAACAAGTAACTGCAGAAATTAGAGTAAACGTTTTTTTTTTTTAAATTGTAATAAAAAAATCAAATTGTAGTACAAAACAAACAACTCACATACTACTTATTTTAATTCCATTTAATAGTGCACTTTGATTAACCTGTACAGAAATAATATTAATAATAAAAAAGATAAAACATGTTTTCATTTCGGTAACACAAAGCATAACATGTACAATAAAATAAAATAAATGATACGAAACAAACACATATTTGAGGTATAAATATATTTGTTTTAAATTACCGGTTATGTTCATGCGTTATTATTTGGCAAAGACAAACTTTTCTGATATGAACAAATGGCTTAGTGAATTAATTACACACTCAACAAGAACAATGTACAGCCTCAGACTGAAGCATGTTGAAGATTGTTATGAACAACAAAAAAAGGTTATGACGGTCCAAATTTCACTTTTTTGAAACACTGCAGAAAAAGAAGCTTACGTGAAACTTAACACCCTTCCTGTAAAAGAAACATTCAATCCACCCTCTTCTTTACAGTAAAACCTGTAAAATCTGACCCTTTAAAAAAAYTGTTGGTTTTTGTCCATTTTCAACTAATCTTTTCTTATAGTTTGAGGTTTCTGTTGTGAGTTTTTGAACAGTGCATTATGTCCTCTGTTCTCATGTGTGTGAAAATGTTTTTATTTTTTTTGAAGTACATAAGTGTTTTACAGCCAACAACAATTTATAAAAACATGAATTGAGTGAATGGTGCTGTGCTTTRAACTAAACAACTACTGGTGCTTTGATTAGTACTGGAAAGCTCTCAGCTGTTTTCTTTATTTGGTCCGACAAATTAGCTTTTTCTCCTGTTCCTTAAAGAATTTCGGCACGCTGAAAATTCGTCTTATTTTTTTAACTTTACAAACTAAAACGACTTTCATAAAAAGCTCACTATRACTGACTCAACTAAATTCTTCTCTAGGGACTGAAGTGACTTTTATCTGTCAGTAATTGAGGCCTCATATTTGATCAGTACTTTCTTTTCGGTGAGCCAGCCACCAGCACTCATCTTTCTCTACCTGGAAACACTAAAACCCTGTGTACTATTGGCCCACCTGTCAACTCACCGCATCCTGTCTCTATTGTTTCCACTCAGCCTGCGTATTTGCAGCACATCTGCATCTTTCCTCACCCATACATTCATCAATCAGCTCGCTATATTAACATCTACAGTTCCTCCTGGGCTCTGCTGCAACAGAAAAGGGGACAGAGGTAACAGAAGGCAGACATTACCAGACACCATGAGACCAGAATACTTTTTGTACACACATTTCTCTGCCTGTAAACCAGCGTGGTATATATACGCTAACCAGCTTTTTATAAACAAACACACACATACACTCACACACAAAAGCTCACACATACCTTGGTTCTCCCTCGCTTCTCAGAAGCAGTATCATCCCTTTAGATAAAGTCTGAACCATAAATCCTGTATCAGCAACATAATGTCCCCAGGTTAAGATAAATCTCTTGAGTCCAAATGTGACAGTTTTAAACGTCAGTCTGTTTTGACCCAAGGCAGACGCGTCCTTCAATCCAACCTTCAGGCTTTGTCTTAAAAAAAAGAAGCTTTGACTCCATCTTCAGTCTTCTGGAAATAACCATTTCAATCCAAGTAACTGTTGTTGGTCCAAATTGCATGCCGTTTTATTATTTGTCCAGGGGAACAGTGAACGAGTCTCGTATTCGTGCCACTTCAGCAGCACATGAGTGTCCGTACAGTTTGTTGTACCACTCTGGGAATCGACCCCTGGAAGAAAWGACACAGATGTGGAGTTAGCTCTTTGTTTTTTGATCATTGCTTTGTCAGTGGAATATACAGTACTTGATTTGGCCAATTGCCTCTGGTCCTGTGTATTCCACTCACCTGAGGTCAATCCTGGAAACGTGCGTGAGTCTGGATTTGCTGGCTCCACATGGTTCGATGAAGTAGCGTGAGGTGAGGACGTTGACGCGGACACCCGCCACCGGCACACCCTCGTGCTCCACAGATGTACACACGAGTGCACACGCCCCCTTCGGCAGATCTGTTACCCATGTTCTGGTGGAAATCATCGAGTTAGTTTGGATCGTGGTGGGAAAGAAGAACATGCAACGTGGAAATAAGGGGGGGCGAAATAAGCCTACCTGAGGATCAGGTGGTCTCGAGTGGGATGGGGTGCCATGGTGTTCCGGACGTACTGGTAGATCTCTGTCCGCTCGTCGAGCGTCTCCACTACTCGGCTTTCCAGCAGGTCCTCGTCCCACTGCCCCTGCTCTTGCAGCACCCGGGACAGAACCTCCTCGGGACTTGCAGGAATTTCGACATTCGCTTTCCAGAGCCGCAGGGGAAAGCCATCGTGCACCTGGAGGATCAGRCGAAACAGCACTATAACTTCTCACACCAATCCTTTTGATTTATTGGGAATTTGAGAATTTTATGTGATCAGGAATAAACATTTAAGATGAACATCAAGTACTCTGTAAAAGTCTTGGGTAATATTATCAGGAACATTTAATTATCACTTGTAATAAAAAAATCCTAATCCATCATTCTATGAACAGTCTGAGTGTGTTTGAAAACCTCTAAATGCCCTTTAACCAAGTCAGCTGCTTCATTCTGCTCTCTCATGATAAAGAATAACACACACACACACACACACACACACACACACACAC